TTACCTTCACATTGATTAACATAGTACATGATCCAATTGCTTATGTTTTTCTTTTAATGAAAATACAGTGTTAAAATAACAGCCAAATTGTTTCGTTTACTCCAAGAAATAAAAAAGGAAAAGATTCAAAGAAGTTAAAATTCAATTCCTATTTTTAATTAATTTCAAAACAACTGAAACACATACATTTTGCTATTTTAATAAAAACTTTAACTTTTTCTCAAAAAAGTTTATTGTTCTACGGTTTATGTTTAACATTGGTTATAGTCTCCAACAGCCTTCTCTAGGTGCTTTGCAGAGGAACAGCATAATGTCCCCATAAATTCTCATGAAATTTGAACGGTATTCAGTAGAGGTGATTAAATAGTAATGTTCTAAGCTGGCTTTGCCTTGAGAATGTTTAACATTGTTACACAAAGTGTCATTGGAGGATATGTTTCACCTCCACTCAAAGCAAGTAGCTCTTTCCATATACACAAAAAGGACATTTGATTTCCCTCTTTCATCACCTATTGGATATGCCATAGGTGTCTCAAACTCAATATGTCAAATAATAAAGTAATCTTCATTTAACCCAGATCTATCCCTTTATACTGAATAGCACCACTAGCCACTGAGATGTCTGGGCTAGAAACTTGCACAGCATCCTTGATGCCCCACATCCTCATGTCACGCATCCGATCAGTCCTAAAAATTCTGCCTCCCATTTTCCACCAAATCCTAGTATTTCTTTTTTCCATTCATTTTTGTGTAGCTTACTGCACTAGTACCCTAAATGATGGTGGTAGTAAAAGAAGTAGCTAAGAAGTATTCAGTCTTCTCAATACCTCTTCGCTGGTACCCTTTCTTCTGATCCTGAGTAGAAAAAATGATTTGGTATGAAAGACTTTAGTCCTTTATACACCCTGCTTTATCATAGAAATTCATTCTATTTGGACAGGTCCAGCATGTAAAGAAGAATGACTTCAAGAACTGGTCAAAATTCTATCTTATAAAGCCATTTATGATCTGGTTTTTTCTTTTCTTTTCAATTTCACTATTCATATCTCCCCACATCCCTGTAGCTCCCTGATCTAGGCCTTCTGAATCTGTTCCTGCCTTAAATCAGAAAAAACAACTTCTTTAGGTCCTTCCAGAGCAACATGCTCTGTATTACAGAGTGCATGCTCTCTGTTAGGAAGAATATTCACCTTATACATTTTCCCTAAGCTGAATTCTACCCCTCTAAAGGATTCAAACATAGCTATTGCTTCAGGGGCAATCTCTCTGTGGACCTTCTGAGGTTGGGATACAACTAACAGCTCTATGGTCTATGGCACTTTTTTCTTCCTCGATCACAGCACATAGCTCACTGGACTGTAGTTCTTGCTTAATTGTTGATATTCCTCACTATATTGTAAGCCCCGTAAATCCAGGGTTGGTATTTTGTCATCATGGGATCCCCAGAGCCTGGCTTCTACTAGGTGTTCAATAAATATTTGTAGTCAGATGGGGTCCACTTGGTGCATAGCAATGCTGTTGTTTCCTTCATAATGTCCTGAGAACATCTAATTCCAAGCCAGTCTCTCAACCAGGAAGTCAACTACTCATTCGTTCATTCGAAATGTTTTAATATATATGGATCAAGTAGATTTTACCCAGTTATTAGAATCAAGACCTTAGAAGCAGATTGGGAGAAACTAAATAAGCAGCCTTTCTTGCAGAACTCCATCTAAATGAAGGTTATTTATGTCTGGGCATGTCACATGGCACAGCAACTCTCAGTCACTAGACACATACTGAAATAACTAGTGCATTCCAGGCACTGTTCCAAGCAGTGGGGGTTTAACAATAAATATGAAACTGCCCCTGTTCTCAAAGAACTCATGGTAAGTGAGGAAAATAGGCAGGCAAACTAATTAATATAATATAATAACACATATTAAAAGAGAGAGTTGTATATAGTGTTTTCAGAAAACAGAGAAGACTGCGTTTGAGATTCAGAGGAACATTTACTGAGGACGTGATACTTACGCTTAGCTTTAAAGATTGAAAAGAGGTTCCCTAAGTGCACGGAAAAGTGTTCCAGGCAGAAGACAGAGGATATGAAAAAGCACAAAGAGAGAAAAGAGCACAGCATAGTTGTGTGAGCATGTTATCCAGCTCCATGCAGAGTGGCAATGGAAGATTCTTGTCACAAGGCAGGAACTTGATCATAAAGGGTCTTATGAGCCAGCAAAGAACTTTTAACCTGACCCTACAGTCTAACAAAGCTCTTCACAGACTTTAAGCAGGGGAGAAAAGTGATCAAATTCAGATTTAAAAAAACATCTCTGGAAGCTTTAGGGAGAATTCAAAAGAAGAGTGCTTCCCAGTATCTTGGAATTGGAAATGATTTTAGGTGATATGTGGTTTGGGCATTAAACAACAAGGAATCTTGTGAACAAGTGGTTGTTTATGCATTATCTTTTGGCCTTTTCATTATATAAAAGAAAAAGCTGCTGTTGTCTAGGCTCTGGAGTCAGAATACTTAGATTTAAGTCCCTACTCTCCTACTTACTAATGATTTTGAATAAGTTACTTACATTCTGTGCCTCAGTTTTCAAAAGTACAAAATGTGGTTAATAAAACTAGTATCTGCTTCTGAAGATAAATGAATTAATACTTAGAATAGAGCTTGACCAAAAAAGCACTTAATAGACATTGACAATAATTTTATTATTTTTAATTAGTATTATTATATTTATTTTTACTTTCTACTTATGGCTAGTGATTCCACTTATGGTAATAATTAAAAATTTCCTTGTTAAATAGACCTACTTGATTTTAAAGAGTAAATAATTTTAAATAATACTGTTAAGAAAACAATATAAGATTCGGCCAAAGCCAGGCCGGTCGGGGGACAAGAGAGCACACAGCCATGGCAAATTGATGAAAATGATGTACAAATGGCTGAGGTTTGAGATAGAAGAAAGCAATATCGGAGGTAGTGGTACAAAGGAGAAACATTAGGAGCTCAAACTAAGATCAGAGTAGAAAAGGTGAAGAAAATGATAGATTTGTGAAATATTTAGAAAGTTGAGTTGACTGTACTCTCCTGCCCCAAAGTCTAGGGTAGAGCCTGGTACATGCTAGTTACTCAATAAGTATTTTCTGGAGAAAGACAGATATAATAGGTAAGGAAGAAATGAAGGAAGAATCTAGGACATCTCACAGTTTTCTAGTTTGAATATTTGAGTAAGTGGTGATGTCATGAACTATAAAGAAAGAATGAAGGGAGTAGAGTCTGGAAAGAAGATAATGAGCTAAGCTTAGGACATGACGAGTTTGAATTTTCAAGGAAAAATCTAGATGGAGATGTTCACCAATTTACCAGGAACTCAGGAGAGATTTCTCAGTTAAACATGTAGATGTGGGAGCTATTACTTCGAGCTTTACTCAAAAATACTGCTTTAAATGTAAATCTCATCCAAAAACACCTTCACAGAAACATTCAGAATAATGTTTGACCAAATATCTGGGCACTGCGGCCCAGCCAAGTTGACACATAAAATTAGCTATCACAATATCCATGTGATAACTCATTCCCACCTTACTTACTTCGTACAAATATCCCTTCTATGTAGAGTTCAGCGCAATAGGAAGGTACATGATAGCCATTGCATGGTATAGAAGAAAATCTCCTTAGGAGTTCAGTGGCCTTCATTCTTATCTATCTTCAGGGAAAGGAGAAGAATGGAACATCTTCTACGTTCTTGGGACTGTATGAGCTATTATTTGCTAGAGCTGAAATAATTCTTCACACTGGACGGAAGGATCAAGGAAATAGATACTATCAATTGCCAGAGCCTCTTTATAATGGAGGAGTAAGAGTTAACACAGAGAGTGTCTTTTTCCCAAAACAAAAACTGTAGCCCAGGATGTGCCTTTCCATTTCCACTTTACAACTTGAATGATGCAGTAAAAGTTTCACTCCAAGTGATTGATGTACAATTTTTATCAATTAAATAATAGTAGGATCAATCCCAGTGTTATTGACAATGCTTCCAAACCATCTACCATACCTCAAAGTCAATGGAATTAAGCGGAACTGATAGGCCTAAAAGAATAAATATCTGGCACCAGCCCAGTAGTATAGTGGTTAAGTTCGCATTCCACTTTGGCAGCCTGAGGTTTGTAGGTTCGGATCCCTGGCACAGACCTACACACTGCTCATCAAGCCATGCTGTGGAGGCATCCCACGTACAAAATAGAGGAAGATTGGCACAGATGTTAATGCAGGGCCAATCTTCCTCACAAAAAATAAAAAGGAAGGCTTGCACTTCTGGCACATTCCCAATGCAATCTTTATGGGATCTGATGCATTCACACTCTAGATGCTCACTAAAAATTACGGATGGCCATTAGTTCATCAAATAAGCCTCTGACAAATTTCCTCTGTTAAATAAGATACGTTTTCCAATACCTACAAGTATGTTCAACACTATTACCCCAAACTTTGACTTATGACTTTTGTCTTTCCAGTGAAGAATTCTAGTGTTAAGTACAGTCTTTGCATTCCAAAAATAAGATGGGCTTTTCAGCTAAAAAAAAATCCTGATTTTTTTTCAGGAATTGTACTGTATTCCTAAAATTGTATTGTAATTTGACGTTATATGTCAAAATGCCTAAAAAGTTTCCTACACTTTGACCCAGTGATATTGTTTCTGAAAAACTAGCATAAGAATATCATGTGGGGATACGGGAAGCTTTTTGCACAAATATTTATTCCAGCATTGTCTATGAAGGTGATTTTCTTTTAGACATGGGTTCACAGTCAAAAGTTAAAGAAAGACTGGCTTATAACTGATCCATACAAATGTAACTAACCAAAAGCAGAATAGTTAAGTGAATGTGTATCTATTGATACAACCAGGAAAAATTATGTTTGCTTGGAGTTCATCATGGCATATTAAATGCTTATAACACTATCTACAAAAGAGGTAGAAAACATATTTTACAGCACAGTCATGTGCTACATAATGACATTTGGGTTGATGACAGGCCACATATACGACAGTGGTCCCATAAGGTGAGTACCATATATCCTAGGTGTGTAGTAGGCTATACCATCTAGGTTTGTGTAAATACACTCTATGATGTTCACACAATGATGAAATTGCCTCATAATGCATTTCTCAGAATGTATCCCTGTTGTTAAGCAATGCACAACTGTAATTGTATACAATTATACTATTTAAATATTTAAAGCTTGGTAAGAAAATATAGTCATGGGGATAAATACATTTAAAAAAAAATGCTCCAAAGACTTTCCCTGTTTGTTTTTTTCTCTTATATCTACTTTTAGATATTTTCCAAATTGTAACTAATATACATACATTGCTTCTATAGTGGACAAAAACTATCACTTTATAAAGGCGGGGCATAGAGGGGAGAGGGACAGAGAACAAGTCTGGGGATGGGGGGATACAGGGAGAGTTGCATAAAATAAAAGTATGCATAAGTCCCCACTGAAGGGCTCCAGCTTGCTGATAAAGAGGATGCCATTCAATATTCCCTACCAAGTATTACTCTCAAGTGGAAGTGGTACTTGTCCTGTAAGCTCACTCTGAGCTTGGTATTAAGGAATACCAAAAGAGATGTTTTCCTGTTGCTTCAACTCTATTCAGCAAATGCTGTTACTCTCCCTAACTCAACCACCCAGAAACCATAGGTTTCCACCACCTGTGGTCTGTTCTTGGACAAGGATACTCAGAGGAGCCAAAGAATTCAAACGTGACCATCATCAGGTCCTGGGAAGGGGCAGCACAATCTCGCCTGTGAAATAACACTGCAGGAGTCCTTTGTTAGGTGCTGGCTCAATATATCAACCAGTGTCTGGGGAATGACTTTCCTTTGTATCTGGAGCAAACATAGAGTATCACTTACGGTTCTTTGTAAGCCTCAGAAACCAAATGCGGCTAACTTAATCAAACCAAAGTGGATTGGAAATTGAGTCCTTTACAGAAGGAAAAGCTAATTGTGCCTCCTGAAGGATAAGAACCAGACAGGCACTGAGTTCTCCATCAGAGCCTCAAGGGCAATCCCTTTTTGGGTATTGACGTCTGAATGACTCAGCTTCCACACGTCCAATCTTTAGTCTTTCGCTCAAGATTAAAATTCCTGGGAAGAAAAAGTAAAAGGACTATCTTTGACCCTGTTCTTGGACAAGGATACTCAGAGGAGCCAAAGAATTCAAACGTGACCATCATCAGGTCCTTGGCCAGAATAAAAGGGATACCCTGATTAACAGCCATACAAGGATCTATGTAACAGATGGAATTATTCCCCAAAAGTAGGATGACCACATGTTGGGGTTTGCCCTAGACAGTCCCAATTTATATCTGTTTTTCAGGAATAACTATAAATATCATCGTTTTCACTCACAAAAGCATCCAAGTTTGGATAATAAATTGCATTATTACTCTATACAAAGGAAAAATAGGGCATTGTTACCCAAGAGGAAGGAAGTGATGCTGAGCAGATGAAAATAGCTACCACCACAGTGAGACTATTAGAAGGGGTCAAAACAAAGTGTTCTGCTCCTAATCTTTCAGGTCAAAAGATAAGTATCAGAGTCAAAAGCTCTTATCAGTCTTTTGCTTCTGATTCCAACATGAAAATAACATTCCTATACTCACTCCCCGTGTGTTATTGAATTATTATGACTTTGACCCAATAGTTCCATTCCCTTGTCTTCCTGTGTCCTTGCAGTGAAACCCCTAAAAGTTGAAGTGTTCTCTTTTACTGCTGCTTTTTTAGCTTAATTGGTGCTCTCCTGCTTTCCAAAATAGAATGCTAACATCCTTTCACCCAGCTGGAGGGTCAGGGTGACACCAGACCCAATATTCCCCAAAGCGTGTGTAGGATGGTTGCTGCATCCCTGCTGCTGACTAATAATAAGGAGTCAAATAGCATCTTTTGATTCTGATTTCCTCCGAGAGGCTGTTCTACAAGCGTGGGGTCAACTTAAAGGAAGAGGGTTTTTGTTTAATATTTTCTCCTTTCATTAGTACACTTAAATTACTTTCTTGCAAACTCTGCTTGTTACCTAAATGTACTGGCTCTTTTGTTACCTAATTAGCTTTCTTATCAAAATTCCAACCAAAAATAACAAGAAATGTAATAACGATAAGGTATCCTGCCCCCTCAAAACAGATTTCCTTTCACGCTTTATCTCTTGTTACTGTTCTGGCTTGTTTAATTAAAGTATCAGGAATTATTAGACTCAAATTATTTCTTGATCTAGTGCTCAAATTCTCCTGAAAAACTGCTTCTCCTGCCACAGTATTTAAACCTTTATCAGTGTGAGGCAGATGAGTTTCCACACGTATGCAACTGGATTAATGTAAATCAATATAATTTTGGAGAAAGAGCCTAATTTAGCCTCTGAGTAATTAGACAAACATATCAGATTGGGCTACCCTGAGTTACCAGGACCGTTTGAATAATCATGTCTCCTCTCCTGTGCCCTTGGATGATCACAATGAACAGCATTAATGTGCAAAAACCCTTACGAAACTTTAGCATGGAGGTGTGAAATTCAAAGCAAAGTTATTATTTATTTTTCAGTAGAGGGGGGAGGTAAAAATCACCAAGTTCAAATCACTAACATAAGCTGTATTCAAGAAAGGTAGTCAAGTCTGTTACAGATTTTAAAATAACTGATGAGAAAATACCCTTAAATCACAGCTTTAAGAAGGAGAAAACTATAAGACATGTTGGCTGTTTCTCTTCATCAGACTCTGCGAAAAAATTCAGGTTGGAATCTGTTTGCTTCTGGTGGAGCTGTGTGAGAGGTTCATTTTCTTTGAAGTTGTCTGCAATATGATCCCTTTTTGCGCCGTCAAGCTTGGCTATGGCAACTCCCAGGCAGCCATTTTGAACTTGTGTTTTACTGGAATTTCAATACTTACCCCTGTGTTTGCGAGATGGCTTGCTGATGTCTGTCTAGGAAGAAATAAACTGGTATATATTTGTTTATTTCTACATTTTCCACGTGAGTGTCCTCTTCTGACTGTTGTTTTGCAACCTAATTGGATAGATTTTTGTTGGAAGTTTTAGTTCATGTTATTCCTAACTTACTCTTAGCATAAAATGTGATAAATGAAGTGAGAATGTTGTTTCAATTTATTTCATTCTCTGTATTATTTGAGAGATGCTAGTAAATGTTCGTGCGTGTGTTTGTGAGGAAGCTTTAATACCTATATCATTGCACTGATTATATTTCATAATAATTACCTCTTTATGTGTCTGTCTTCTGTACTCCTTAGAAAACTCTCCTTTTCCCCCTTCCTACTCCAAGTCTAAATTTGTGACAAATTCTATGTGAAACATGAAGTTCATTTGCTTCACAACTAAGACGAAATGTGCTAAAAAGGTTTTTAAAGTTCATGTGGAATAATTGAGGAATGTTCTCATCAAAAGGTGGTCTTTTAATTAGTCAAATAGTAATTAAGATTGCATATGAAGACATGATTTCTATATTATGAACTACAGTTATTCTAAAAAAAATGAATTAATTCAAATCCTACAGTGTGCTTCTTTATATAGAAAAATAAATATATTCACAAAAGCTTGGGAGTGAATTGATTGCTACAAATGTTGAGGAAATATCAAGATTGTTTGATATTTGATGAACAATCTAGAATTTTAGGCTGAGAAGTTCAAGTTGTTCTCTAGACAACAAGGAGGCACTGAAGATACAAAGAAAACATTTGGGAAGTGCTTTTCTTCAGTAAACAGGATGGGCAACCACAATGAGAAGTTAAATAGACAGAGACCAGAACTCTCAGGATGATGGCCTAGACAACGGAGACATGTCAATCCAGGAGAGAACATGGGAAAAACCAAAAAAACTCGGAAACTAAATAAAGGCACAAATATGATAGAGGAACAAAAATTAACTCCGAGTTTCTGAGCTGAGGAACTTAGGAAGGTGGTGTGCTGTTCACTAATACTGAGAAGTACAGCACAGATGCAGGTTTAGGGGATGGGGGAAGAGATGAATGAGGAAGGGATGGATATCAGGTATTCAACATATCACACAATTCCAGGCACGTGATAACTTGCCATTCACAGGATGGATTAGAGGGTGATTCAAACTTATAAACCTCTTCCCTGCTTTAGTTCCAAAAATTAGAATAATTTGAAATAAAACTTAAGTCACTGCATGGCAATGAATATTCTTTATCCAGTCCTATGTGCCGGGCATTGTTCCAGGATTTCGGAAGGTAACAGAGAAGAAAGCAGTCTCTTCTCTGCTGAAGTTGACTTTCTGGTGCAGAGAGAGAGAAAAGAAACAAGTAAATAGATATGCCATATGTTAACGAGTGTTATGATGAAAAATAAAGCTGGTCAAGGGGATGAGATGCACTGGACAGTGACAAGGTTGCTGTTCTGTAGGGGGGATTGTTTTCTGATAAGTAGGCATTTAAGCAAGGGCTTGAATGATCTGCCATTCTTACCTTGGTAACAGGCCATATCAGTAGGGGTTGGTAAAGTGGTAATTCCTATCAGTCTAAATTCCTGTGTAAGTCATCAGATTCGGACTAAAGGTCCACCTTTGGAATTTGGCAAATAAAGACCTCAGTCAGTTCCCTGTCTATTCATCTTCTTACTAAAAGTTATTTTCTTGTGTCCCCTACTCAAGGCTGCCATCAAATTCCAGCTGATGAATAAATATCAGAGGTTCTATCAAAAATATATCTTCTGTCTGAATTGCTACAACCTTAGCTCAAAAACGCAGCTTTCTTTTTCTTGACCGTTACCATGGCCTACTGACTGGACCATCAGTTATCAGTGACTCCAGTCCATACACCTGTCTATCAATAACATTGACTTCAGGAAAAAACAAACCTATATATTGACTTTATTATCTAAGACATAGAATCCAGCTTAGGACATACAAACCTTTACAATCTGTCCCAAATTTACCTCTCCAGACTTCAGTCTCAATAGATGAACTCAACCATGCTGAACTTCTCCTTGCCTGCTTTCCTCCTTCTTTAATCTTACAAGTCCTCTTTTCTAGGCCTGAAATTGTCACCTTCCTTTATCTTTCCACTCTGTATCCAAAAAGTGAAAACTTCTGCCCTTCCTTCCACACCCATATAGCGTTTGTTGCTTGCTTCTCTGTGCTCAGTCACACTCTGATCATCCCTCTATGACTGCATTTATTCCACTACAATGTAGTTGTCTACCTGCATGTCTGCCTTCCCTGATGGACTCATTAGCTTCTGGAGAAAAGAGCCAGTGGACCCCACTACTCTTGACACATCTTGGTGCTTTATACAGAGCTACACGTACAGGTATGCTCATTATGTGGAGCACAATACCACGGATCAAAGAGAAAACTTTTTATCATAAATGTCATTGATTTGTATTCTTACTACATCAATTTGACAGCTGATAGAAATAAAGTTTTGATCTAATGACATCAGTATATTATGACATTTTCTTAAAAGATAGAAACAAAGTGCCTTTTTAACGGACACAAAGGTACCACTAAAAGTGCTTTGTCTCTAAATAAATGGTTGCTGCAAGAAGCAGTTTCTCTGTCCATCCTCTTTGGATAAGCCAGGCCTCATGTCACGCTTCCAAGACAAAGACTGAGTGACAGAGAGAGAGCAGTTAGTTGCACATCTGGCTAACCTTGATAGGAAACATTTCAAACTCAATCATTTAAAGGGCCTACACTCATGGTAAACCAACCTGTTATCAAATAACTATTGTGTGCATATATTTTTCACATTGTGAAACCCACTGTAAGGGAGACAGAAACATTAGGCCAAACTTTTGTCTTGAAGGAGCTTATAGTCTGATTTAGAAAACTAACCACATAAAGCAACCATATAAAAAATTTATACAAAACAATATGAATGCCACATGAAGAAAATGGAAGACACTACTAACATGGAGAGGCTATTTTTCACTAATCAAACCGACAAAAAAAAAAATTAATGATTTGACCACTTGACGACAGGAATTCCAAGAAGAAGGAGATTACATCTGGGTTATTCTATAATATTAGGCAAGTCACTTAACCTCATTGAACCTTGGCCTCTTTCTTTAAAAAAAGATGCTTCATCATGGGTTGACATGAGTTTTATTCATGTTTATGTTGCTGGTTTTACGGTTAAACGGAGCATGTAGCTGGAATATTAACACTTTGAGTTTTCATGCTTTCCTGAATTTCTCTTTGCAACCTTTAAACCTTAGTCCCTGATTGATTGTATTAAATCCATTATGAGAATATTACTTAAAGTTGTATTATAATTGCAACCTCCACTAATTATTCAGTACTGTAGCAGCAAAGTTTTATTTGTAAGAATTCAGTTATTTTTATACTTATATCCACTATAAATTTGATGTTCTAGTCAGTAAAATGATGCAATAAAATAAATATTTTCAAAAAAAAGAAAATCTATACCCTGACATCGCAAAGTTTTTCCAAGATGAAACAATATGGTATGCAAAATGTTTTGCAGAACATAAACAGCTTAGCAAAAGTATGGAATTGAATTATAATTTCTATTAGACAAGAAAAATCTTCCAGTATGGTCTCTGCAAGATGAAAGTGAGAAGAATACTCAACCCTCTGTTATCACTTTCTGTCCTCCCCTCTTTTCCACTTGTACTGCGTCATTCACCCTCACATCCTTCTCCTCAGCCTTCTCACCTCTGTGTGGGACAAAGAAAGTTCCACCGAGCTGCATGAGAAGTGAGAGAAATAAGAAGGGCATTAAAAGGAGAAAGAGAATTAGAAAAGGAAAAGAGAGTCTATGTTCTCCTCCAACTACAATGATGTTCTCCTTAAAACACTTTATTTAACAGGCTTCTAAGGTGTCTGAGATCATCGAGCTTTCTATCACTCTCTTGATTAAGAACAAATAACCCTTGTTAGCAGTGGTTTTCTCTGGGGGTGGGATTACAGGAATTTTTAGCTTCTTACATGATGTATTTTTGCATAGCACTAATTTTGTTAAAATGGACATGATTTGTGTATACATTCTGAGAGTAAAGATAGTTCAAGCTTGGGGGGTGACTAGGACTCTGGATTAGTTAAAGCGCATATTGGAGGAAATTTTCACGTTTAGAAAAATCATGCTATCTCCTGAATTGCAATGATTAACAAGTATTTTAATAAGACAATCATATAATGATGCTACTTACAGAGAGAAAACCTTATTTACGATGTGATTTGGTGATTCAGTTGGTCTGTGCCATATTTATTCTCACTTTTTCTCTATTTACAGGCACTGCTTTGCTATCTGTGGTTGCTTTCCCCTTGGAAGATTTCTATGTGGGTATTTACCATACGGTTAACAACATACCAAAAAACGAGTGGAACAGGCTGTTTTATGTACCACTGTTGGCCATCTGCCTCACCATGGGAGGAATAAGAGGCATCATTTGTCCACTGGATGCTTACAGCCTTCAGGAGTATGGATCACAGAAATGAATGTCTTTTTTTAATTGGTAAGTAACGCTGGTTAGGAGAGAAAACGAGGTTTAGGACATTCCTCTCCCTTTTGGGATTTCTCATTGTTTGCTCTCCAGTCCCATTTTGATGGTAGTAGTTCAGTCTTTGTCATTGGTTGGGCTGGGTAATTGACAATGTGATGGTGCCTGCGGCAATGATTCAGTCAGAAATCGTCGGAGCATATGAGTCAGATACAGACCAACACAGTTTACCAGAACCTTCTAGAAACTCATTGAGAAATTTGACCTCTAAGTAAACAAGTCTGAAGTGGTTTGTCATATTGAATAGAACGTGGCTTTGGAGATGAAGAGGGCTGAATGGAATTCTCACCTCTACTTAGCACAAGATGCCTGACCTTGGTCAAGTTGTTTATTCTCTATAAGCTTCAGTTTAATCATTTCTAAAGGGTTTATAATAATACCTCTTCTTGGGTTTTATTAGAGGTAATAATGTGCAGATCACTGGCAGAGAATCTGGTACATAATAGGTGATCAATACCTGCTAGCTGTTGTTATTACTTATTACATCGTAATTGACTAATTTGGCAGGGGTTAGAAATTCACAGGCCAGTGCAGAGAGAAGATGAAAAGGATGGAAGAAATGTTTTGCCCTTTGTTAAAACATCAACCAGCACCTCTGTTTTGCATTCACTTCACCCCAACACCTAAAAGAGTTTGTATTCCATAAAAATCACTTTTGAGAATCTTTGTCTCTCTCAGTGAGTTCTTGTGCAGTTTTATGTGTTTTTAAGGAACCAATTTTTATTATCGACTACAAATTCAAGAGAAAAATTGAAATATTGTTCTTAAAGTAGAGAATTTTAGCATTTAATAGAGAATTTTGTTTTTGTTATTGGTATTCATTAGTGGATGTCAAATAGATCTGACATACGTTGTCTTCTGTTTCCTCTTTTCTGTGAAATGGGTTGCCAACATTTTTCTAAAGTACTGTCTTTCCATCAATGTTAGTAACAGATAAAAGCAATGCACAGACAGCATCAGACAAAATGTTGAAGAAAATTCATATTAAAAGTATTAATTGAAAAAATTTTAGAATAAATGTTATCTAGGTATATGTAGCTATCCAGGGCAGGGTGTTCGTTCATTTCTTTCCTTCTTTTTTTCTTACTTTCTTTCTCTCTCTCTCTTCCTTCTTTTCTTCGTTCCTTCCTTCCTTTCTTTCTGTCTCCCTCTCTCTCTGTCTCTCTTTCTTCCTTCCTTACTTCCTTTACTTTCTTTTCTCCTTTATTCCTCTCTCTTTCTCTTTCTTCAATTATATTAATATTACAAAAGACTCAAGCCTATTTTGGATTAAGTCCAACGTCAGAGAATAATGCAATTTTACCAAAGGTGGAAGGGACTTTTTACTTCCTTATAACAAATTCTGCCTCCTTGACCTGCCCAAAGGAGAAAGAAAAATCCTTCTTTTTTATTCTATTCGGAGGTTTTAATCCTTAATTAGCAACATCATTTTGATTAAATAAGACTCTGGAGGATTAAGACTGGAGAGCAATCAGTTGCTCTGAAAGATAGCTCTGGAGAATTTATTGTACTGTGGTCTTAGTCATTCAGAGTTGTGTTTAATCAAAGTGACATTTCTCAGTGTTGATTACAAAGGAGACATTATATGAATGAAATATTTCTTTTGGGAAACGGAGAGGACTCCCAATGGATTTGTGCTTTAGGACTTTGGGAAGGGGGTGGGGTAATGGGGTGAAAATGAATTTCTGCAGCTGTGAGGAGCCAGGCTAAATGTGGGATGAACACGTTTTGATTTGGTTACTTATTATTTCCTAACGTCATTAAAATCTCTGATAAAAAAAATCATGCACTATTTTTAAAAGCTAAAATGAAAGCACCTAGAAATCTGTATAAAGAATCAGAGCATTATTCTTTAATGTGATAAAGGACTATTTAGATGGCAAGTTCTTGAAGGCTGAACCTGGCTGTTTCCGTTTTTTGTGGGTTTTTTAAGTTTAAAAACAAAACTAAAGGAAAACTTTTATGAACAAGCGCTTGTTGCAACTTGTAGAAATGAATGCTAACTCTATTCCTGTACATACTGCAGGGGTTGGCTGCAAGATGGACAGACATCCTGCTGGGCAGCCAGATAGCTGGTAGATCCTTAGGAGTTTTATGATCTTCAGCATGTTCCTTAACCTCTCAGAGCCCCAGGACCCTCAGCCAGCTTGCACGGCTGTTGTATAGCTTATATATAAAGAATTCCAGCACATTATAGCTTTTCAAACCATGTTCGCTACTGCTATTATTAAATGACAAATGTCATCAGCTAAAATCATTGTCTTAATTCTGGGAAAGAGGGAACCCATTTAGGAGGAGGTCATCTTTAAAATGGGCAGCCGTTAACTTATAATCTATGTCTCCAAGTCAAAAATGCCTCTAGAAATTATAAGCCTGGTTAATATAACAAATTGCAGTCATGTCTTTAAAAAACAACATACTACTTGAATCTATAACCACTTGAAAGCTGCCTCCAGTTCTATTTTCAGCACAGATGTCAGATGTTCATAGTTACAGGACCTTTAATGAGATGTGTCATTGCATCTATACCACCTAAAGCTTCCCAATGATCCTGTTAAGTAGTATAGACTGGAAGTCTCAGGCATTGAAAGCACTGCTTCCGAGTAGAGCTGCCAAATGTAGGTGAGAAAACCACTCCTAGCCAACATTGCCATCTGGTACTGGATCTTCCTCAACTATGTACCTCATTGAAAGAATAAAGCTAAACTCCCTAAAATCAAGAGGCATAGTAATCTGCCAACATCTTTATGTAATTATCCAGATCAGAACCTGGCTCTTTCAGCATTTTCCAAAATCTGAGGTGTACAATTAAGAGTCACCACACTGGAGATCATCTAGGCAAATACACCTGTGCAGAATCTTTTCTGGAAGCAAAAAGAAAGGTGGATAATTAAGTCTTTTCATAAGCATAATTTTAAATTCTACCACAATTAACCTCAAATCTTGCTTTCACATTTCTCTACTTCCTTTACCTGATAATTTGCATCCCATCTGCATATCATAGTCTGTTGCTAACCAGTTACCAGAGTGAATTATGCATGATTTAAAGGACCAAATAGGATATAGCTAAAGTTTTTGAAAAATTCTAGAGTCTGACTTATTGCATCCCAGAAATTTTGAATATCTGGTACTCAAATTGACCCTACATAATATCTGTTTTATATGAAAAAGTTTTGATTTTAATACTTACTTACTCGTATTTAGCATCTTGTAACTTAGGGAAACACTAGAGGTAAAAACTTATTATCCCACAGCATTTTTCCAGAAGCTGTTTTAACATTCACTTCAGCGTTGTATGAAAGCAGTGATTCTCATCCTAGATGTACATGAAAGCCGACAGAGGCCTCTTCCAAAATACTGGTGCCTGGGCCCTGCCTTCAGAGGTTCCGAGTATATCAGTTTGAGGTGGGTCCCAGAGATCCAGATTTTTTTAAAAGCTGCCTAAGTATTCAGGTTTGAGAACCACTGCTCTCAGACAGTGTTGCCTAATTTTAAGAATCACATGAGGGCTTTGTTTAAAAACGTTTCCTAGGCCCCATCCTCAACCTCCTAGATGAGAATTACTTGGGAGCATAACTGGCGAAACAATTCCAGAGACATGAGAGCATTCCAAAGTGATCTAGAAAGAGCTTTTAAAAGAAATGGAACTAAACATTGTTTGAGTGCACCCCCTGGGTGCCAGCCTGCTTTGGAAACTTTTCATGATTCATAGCAATTTCTTACCCATTTAGAAATCTGCCTGAATGAAAAATTCTACCTAATCCTTGAGAAGAGAAACAAAATATGAATCTATGTTATTCAGCAATAGCGAAATCATAATTTATAAGGTGCATTTCAGCCAACGAAAGCAAAGCAGCTCATGGGATAATCTTATTAATACACATTAATACTCAAAATATCCTCTGAGTTGCATACTGAGGAATAGCCTGTAAATAACTTTAAAAAAATCACTAGACCTGCCAAAATTCTATTTGCGTGGGGTGTAGCGAAGTTTAACAAATGCTACCCGCTCACTCTAATAACAGCAGGCACCTCCTTCTTCACCTTTGCTAAAATTGTAAGCCTTCAGGAAATACACTCAGAATTCCTCTCCAAAATAGAACTATGGATACCAAAGAATATTGAGGAAAAAAAGAAGAAAGACAAATTTCTTACTGCTTCTGTCGCCTCCTGCTTTTCCTTAAGCCCTGTTTGGTTGCTTTTAAACTTGGCAGGTGTGTGAGTAAGGACTTATTTTCATCAGTAAACACGCACTGGTTCAAAGATCTTACACTCAGGAAATGAGAAAATGACATAAACACTATTAAAATTGGGATGTTGACAAAAGAAAGGGAAAAAAGAGACAGGGAATGACAGCAAGTTAAAAGAGTGAGAGAGCGCCAGCCCTGATAGCCTAGTGCCATGCTGTGGTGGCGGTTCACATAGAAGAACTAGAAGGACTTAAAACTGGGATACACAACCATGCACTGGGGCTTTGTGGAGGAAAAAGAAAAAAAGAGGAAGATTGGCAACAGATGTTAGCTTAAGGTGAAACTTTACCAGCAAAGAAAAAAAAAAAAAAGCAAAAGGGAGAGAAAGACAGGCATGCCCCAAATTTCTTAATTAAAAATATAACTATTACCTTAATCTTGCTGTCTATTCACCAAAACCAATGATCTGCCTTTATTAAACTGCCTTTCATTTAACAGCGTTGTTGAAAAAAATTATAGATAAAAAATAAGAACTGTAAGGGCCAGCCCCAGGGCCGAGTGGTTAAAGTTGCATGCACGCCACTTCAGTGGCTTGGGTTCACAGGTTAGCGTCCCAGGTGCAGACCTACTCCAGGAGTCAGCCATGCTGTGGAGGTATCCCACATACAAAGTAAAGGGAGACCGGTGCAGATGTTAGCTCAGGGCTAATCTTCTTCAAGCAAATAAAAGAGGAGGATTGGCAAGGGATGTTAGCTGAGGGCGAATT